GCTTGGCTTTACTTCTTGGCCTTTCCCTGAGCAGCCACAGCTTCCATAGCTTTGTGAACCATCTTTTGATCTCCCAGGAACAGTATGGGCTTGTTGGGCTTGAAGTTCTTGTCCAATTTATAGATAATAAGAATTCCAGTGGGCAGGTTCAGCTCCATGATGGTCTCTTCAGAGAGACCTTCCAGATGTTTGACAATTTCATGAAGGCTGTTGCCATAGGCTGCAATCAGTACTAATTTCCCCTTCTTGACCAGAGGAACTATTTCTTCATTCCAGAGGGGCAGGATCCTTAGGGCAATAGTGTCCTTCAGACTCCCACAGGGGGCCAGCTGATGTTCAGTCAGGTCTACATATCTGTGAGCCTAACTCGCTGTAGAAGGGGTGGTCAGCCTCCATCGGTGCTGGTGGAAGGTCATAGGAGCACCTCAGATCTTTACCTGGGCCTCACCATGGTTGGCAGCAGTTTCTGTTTTATTGAGGCCAATTAGACCCTCCCCCCCCATCATGCCACTCATTGAGGTGCAAAGTCCTCACTACTGGCAATCACATTTGGTCAATGGCGTCCAGCATTGCCCAGAGCATCTGGATCGCTCTCTTCTGCACTGAGATGAAGTAGATGTCAAACTCACATTCAGCATCTCGCAGAGCCTGCCCACCGTTTTTGGCCTCTTCATGCCCCGCCGGGCTCCGTTTGGCGTCGTTCCAGCCACTGAAGTGGTTCTGCAGGTTCCAGGCTCTCTTGCTGTGATGCATGAGCATGAGCTGGTAGGCGACCACGGTGGAAGACTCATGATGTGTTGCTCACTGGGGTTCTTGTAGAAGCTCTCTTTAAGGATGTCACTGCAGGATCCTATTTTTTTTTTCATTTTAAAAGATTTAATCAACTCTTAGTCCCAAATCTCATCTTCTGATATTTGGGATCTGTGCTTGTAACCCAAAGGCCTAGTCTCTGGTAATTTTGAAGCCATAATTGGTGCTTCTTGAAATAAAGACAGACACCCTCATTCATTGTGACATAATACTCCAAAACCCAGCATGTGTGTGGGTCACCTATAATTTGTTTCTAACCCTACCACAGTGTTGTTGCTGTTAGGTGCTGTGAAGTCAACTACAGCTCATAGCTATCCCTAGTAGATCACAAGTTTGCCCTATCTTAACATCCCGATGATCTCTCACGTGTTAGAGTCCATTGTTACAGTCACGGTGTCAATCCATCTTGTTGAGGATCTTCCTTTCTTTCTCTGACTTTCAACTTATTCTATGATTTTTCCCAAAGACTAGTCCCTCCTAAAAGCATGCTCAAAGAATATAAGACAAAGTTTCACCATGTTGGCCTCTCAGGAGCACTGTGGTTGCATTTCTTCTAAGACAGAGTTGTTAGTTCTTTTGGCAGTCCGCGGTGTATTCAGTACTGTTCTCCAACAAAACAACTCAAAGGCATCGTTCCCCCCTCCCCCTTATTCATTGTCCAACTTTTTTCCCATGCAGATCAAACACATTTTCATTTTTGTTTAATTAAATTATGTCTTAGACTGCATTTCCGATGTACTATGTTGATAGAAATTTTAAGCCTTACTTTTTTTGACATTGTCATTCAGAGACATCTTTTTTTAATTGATAATTTAATGAAAGTTTATAGGGAACTTGGATTTCTATTCATTCATTGTTGCACATTTTCCTCCCTGATGATTTTTCCCTAGTTCGCTTTTTCCTTTGGGAAAAAAAAATTCTTTCATGGTTATTCAGTCCCTTCCCCCCCAGAACATTTTACAATGCAGCTCTGATTCTGGACTCATGTCATGCCAGAACTGTATAAAAGGAATATATTGATTAGTTATTATTGGCATTGTTAACTTTAAGATGCATATGAAACAAATAAAAATAACATGTCCTAGATTATGTGCACTTTCTCCTTTAATTGACATTATTATTCTTTTTTTTGGGGGGGTGCAGATGCCTTTATTGATCTTCCCGGAGTGGTGTCAGGATTGCCACCTCTATTTTTTATTATGAAGCACTAAAGCCCTCCTATATTATTGTACACACATTTGTGATTGTATGATTAGTGTCTTTATAAAAGAAGAGAAGATACACAGAAACAGGGAAGAGAGCCATGTGAAGATGCATCTAGAAGCCAAAGAATGCTAAGGAATGCAGGTCTAGTGCTAACAGGAGCTGTAAAAAGAAAGGAAGAACCTTCATACAGAGCTAGTGACTTTGGTGGCATCCTGGATTTGGGCTTTCTAATCTCTACACTGCTCCATGGGAGAAGGATGGGCAATCTCCTCCCATGTGATTAACTGCCTCCAAAAACCCACTGGAGGGTCAGTTCAGACACTACAGTACACAACAACACCAACAACCTCTAGAACTGTGAGACAATAACCTTCTGTTCTTATAAGCCACCTGCTTTTCTTTGACAGCCTTAGAAAATTAATACAAAGATTTAGTGGAAGAATTAATTATACATAGGGTACACATTGCTCTCATTCTAAATAGCTTTCCTTCACAGTGGCCTGACAGAATGATTCAGACAGTGCAGAGAACTCTAGAAAATGTTCAACCAGATACTGCAGTACATCAATGAAATGAGAGCAAATTTAGTTGAGCAAAACGATTCAACTCACTACCGCTGTGTTGGAATTGAACCATGGCTGATCTTCAATCAGGTTTTTAGAGGCTGTAAATTCCATGAGACTACCCATTTTATCCTGGTGAGCTGCTGGTGGATTACTGAAACCACTCAGCTGAAACCGACCTGCGGGTTCATACCTGTTCTAGAGTGGAAACTGTGTGGATTAAAAGAGGAACAGGGACAAGAGAGATAGGGGCTAGACCAAGATTTCTGATCAAGCCCCCAATTTATTCAATGAATTCTGCTATAAATAGGCAGCGGAGTAGGCAGGGCTGCCAGGGAACCCAGCCCTAGGTTATCAGTTTACAAAAGAGAGGGAGGGGCATGCCCCAAGGTATTGATTTACAGGTGCTGATTTAAGAGGTAGGCATAGTCCCAGAGACTGACAGGGGTGGCGGCTGCATGTCAAAAAGTGTTATCAGTGGCAGAGTTAAGATCTACTCAGGATGGCTTCCTATGGATTAGAAGTGACTCTTGGGTGAGAAGTGCATTTCCATACCCACTAGGCCATCAGATCTCTGAGTGACACAAGTCAGTCACAAAAAGACAATAATGGTACAAGACCACTAATATTAAAAAATCCCAAGGAATAGTTTATTCACAGAAAGAATCAACTTTGGAAGGTTCTCAAACAGATATGCTTTGAAAGAGGAGGAAATAAAGACATACATAATAAAAATGAAAATTTAATTTTTTGGCTAAGTACATAAAAATAGATGATAGATATTATATATATGTTTTTACACGATAGTACTCACCTCTCTAACATTTTCATTTCTATTATGTTTAGCTATAAAATGAAGTAGTGGGAGAGTGGGAGGGAAAAGAATGATGGATCAGATAGAAGCAGCTGGATCAGAAACTCAAACAAGAGCTGTGCAAAGGAGGCTTTAGCCAACCGGGAAGAGTTCTAAGCTGTCACATTTGTTGCTATGTAAAAAGTCTATGAGAAGAGGCCTGTTGAGATAGGGAAATTCCCAGGCAGTCAAGGGAACTTTACTCTTAGCACAAGAGGAGGAGAATGGGCAGCGTCCTCTATTTTTTTTCTTAGAGACTTTGCTTTGGTGTTGAGGGTATCTTCCAGGTCCCTGCCCCTGATCTGTATTACCAGTCTATTTGATGTTGCTCCTTTATGCTTCCTTTGCAGCAGACTTCTTATTCTGGGGTGAGGGTGAGCTGGTGTAGATTGCCATTGCGGAAGCCTACTCACAAGTTTCCAGGACATTGTAGAGCTATACATCCAATACAGAATGTTGGAATAAATAAATACCACTAGTAGAAATTTGTTATTGCCTTTTCCTGATTTACTTATACATAGTTGTTATGTGCCATCAAGTTGCCTGTAACTCATTGTGATCCTAAACCCTGCTCTATCCTGTGCCAGTCTAATTGTTCTAACACACTTAGCACCATTACCCCAGTCACTGAATCAATCCATCTCACCGAGGGTCATCCTCTCTTGTGCTGTCCCTTCACCCTCCCAAGCATGATGGCCCTCTCCCAGGACTGCTTCCCCCTGGCAACATGTCAAACAAAGTATGCCGAACAAAGATTCAGAATCCTTGCCTCCAAGGAACAGCCTGGTCTCACCCTCTCAAGGATGAACCTGTTCGTTCTCCTAGCAGTCCATGGTATATTCAACACTCTTCTCCAGCACCACAACTCAAAGGCATCAGTTTTCCTTCTATTATCCCTAGTCATTGTCCACCTCTCTGATGCATAGCAAGTAATTGCAGACAATGGCCTGGATAGGCGCACCTTAGTCTCCAGACAGATAGCTAAGATACCATTGATATTTTAATTTTAGCTTTTGTGGTGTATTTTTAAAAATATATCAAACACACACTAAGTATAGGAAAGAGAGGGAGAATGAGAAGAAAGTACATTGCTGACATAATGTTGCTCACAATTTAAGGCCTTTTTGAATGTGTAAGATAATAGAAGTGGACAATAACATTCTCTCTCCTGATACATTGTCCCCACTTACTTTCTCATAATAAAAATTATATAATCACAAAAGGTTTTAAACAATGTTGCAGAGATGTCTAATCTTGAATAAATTTTCTCTGGATCCATTTAGACATCTTTTGTAATTGAGAGGAAATCTTTACCTCAAATGTTTATCCAGTACAATCTGATGAAGATACAGTAACAGAAATAGGATTGAGAACCTTCATAAAAAGAGTCTGCCCAGAGACAGATGAAGTCCTTGAATTCCTGTGCTGATTGGTTCCTTTCCCAAGTGACTCTCCAATCCTAATGAGTAGAAGCATTAGTGAGTTTTTACCTTCTGATGTGGGTACATTAGATCTTTTAGGTGTGAACTGTGTTGACTGTCGTTACTCTATCCCCTTTGTTCTCAGTTATGTCTGAGAAGATGGCTTTGCAGATTCCCAGAGGCCTTTGGAACACAGCTGTGATGGTGATGCTGATGGTGCTGAGCACCCCGAAGATTGAGGGCAGAGACACTCCAAGTAAGTGCAGGACAGCTGCTCTCCAGAGTCACCACTCTGAGAACAAGCTCTAAGGGACCATAGGCTGCGTGTGGGATTGTTGTTGTTATATGCCGTTGAGTCACCTGCGACTCATAGCAACCCAATTTACAACAGCTCTGAAGCCTGTCCTGGTGTGAGCCGGTTTCACTGACTCGGACACACTTGTGATCTCTATGATGTAAAACACTGGTGGCCTAGAGGCAAGAAGCTGTGCTGCAATTTTGAAGGCACACAGTTCAAATCCACCAGCTCTTCTGGGGGAGAAGGATGGGTCATATCCTCCCATACAATTAACTGCCTCTGAAAATCTAACAGAGGATCAGCTATGGGTCAGTTCAGACTTAACGGTACACAACAACAACAACAATGATCTGCAACAGTCTTTTTACTAAGCATTTAATATTTTTTTTTTTGCAAAGAAATAGTCTTATTTTTACTTTCTAATATTGAGGTGGGGATAGTCTTCATGACACTTGCTCAACTCTAAAGATGCTATAATGGGAAGGAGATGACAAAGTGACAGGACAAAGTCAACAACCAGTGACAAGACAAGATGGATAGGGGATTATTTATGATTTTCTCCGAAGAAGAAACTGCAGGATTTGTCTGCTCAGAGTCCCCAGAGACCTTGTCTGAACTAAATAGTAGTCAGTTGTTGTGATGAGTTGTTATGAGATTATGGATTTGGGAATGGTAGGACAGCAATGGTTGTCTGTAGTGTTAGCACTGATAGAAAATTTCTATAATTCTGACTCTGGGTGGAGGGTCACACAGGTGAACTCTTAGTGTTTGCATCAAGCTGCTTGAGCGAACAGATGGGAAGATTTTCTTTTTTGTTTGTTTTTCTTTAATCCAGGATTCATTGTGACTTAAGAAGAAATCATATTTGAGTTGTGGTGGATTAAATTTAGGAGGAAAAAAACTATGAAAAAAGAAAGCAATAGACACTGAGAAACTACTGATTTCAGATTTCAGACACAGGATTAGTGTTGATGTGGACTGGCAATTTGGAACAAACTCATAGTGACCCTCCAGCAGGTTTTCAGAGACAGTAACTCACACAGGAGATTGTCCATCCTTCTCCCTCTGAGCAGTTGGTGGATTAGAACTGTGTACCTTTGCAATTGCAACATAGTTTCTTGCCACTAGGCTACCAGAACTCTGTAGGCAAAGAATTGTTATTGTTGTTGTTGTTACATGCCTTAGAGTTGTCTGCAACTCATAGTGACCCTATGAACAACAGCCCTAAACACTGCCCTATCCTTTGTCAATCTTATTGTCTCTGATACACCTACCCACATTACCCTGTCACTGAATCAATCCATCTTATTGAGGGTCTTCCTTTCTGCACCGTCCCCCCCCCCACCCAAGCATGATGTCCCTCTCCAAGGACTGGTCCTTCCTTGCAACATGTCCAAAGTTATGTCAGACGAAGCTTCAGAATCCTTGCCTCCAAGAAGCAGCCTGGTTTCATCCTTTGCAGGATGAACCTGTTTGTTTTCCTAGCAGTCCATGGTATATTCAATACTCTTCTCCAGCATGAAAGTTCAAGGCATCAATTCTCCTTCTATCATCCCTAGTCACTGTCTACCTTTCTAACACATAGCAAGCCATTACAAAGACCATGGCCTGAATCAGACGCACCTTAGTCTGCAGACTGACACCGTTTCTCTTCGGTACTCAGGAGGGAGAGGTCTCTGACAGGAGACTTTCCCAATGCAATATGTCTTTTAATTTCCTGTCTGCTGGTGCCAAGAGTGTTGATTGTGAAGTCAAGCAAACTGAAGCTGTTTACAATCTCAATCTCTTCACCATCTGTCATGATGGTGACTGGAATCCAAAAGTTGGGAATAGAGAAGGATCAGTAGTTGAAAACATGGACTTGGTGATAGAAATGAAGCTGGAGATAGAATGATGAAATGTCACATAATCAACAATTTATTCATAGCAAATACATTTTATAAGAAACATACACACAGGTTAGACACGTGGATTTCACTTGATGGTATGCATAGGAATCAGATCTATTGCATCTGTGGAAAGAACCTCTGGAGACACAGGATTTGTATCTTTTTTTTTTTTTTTTAAGGATTTGTATCTTTAAATGCTCTCTGCATCTTCCTAACATCTCTATATGTAAGGTTTATAACTTTTTTTTTTACATAGTTATACTTTATGATACTCTGTTAAATAACTTTAACTTGCCCTTGCCAATGATTAACACAGTTTAGTTGGACTCCAGTTTATCTAATTTGAAAGCTTATCCTCTTTACAGAAATGCAATGTTCCTTTCTAGGAGACAGGCTTCCTAGAACAGGGAGGGACCTTACACTGTGGTTGGGTGAGTGGGACAGAAATGCAGAGGGAAATTCATCATGGGAAGGAAGGCATGAGAATGTACTTGTCAAGATGTAGTTGTTGCTGTGAACTATGCAGTCAGAATGAACCCATAGCTGACCCCTCAGTGGGTTTTCAGAGACTGTAAATCAAACAGGAGGAGATTACCCATCTTTCTTCCACCAAGAAGATGGTGGATTCGAACGGCATACCTTTGAGTTGGCAGCACAATTCCTTACCAGGACAAGCTTAATGCACTTTACAAATAATACCTCTTAGTGTTTCTCATCATCTCCTTAAACTTTTGCTTTTGTAAAAAGCTTGTTTGTGTCTGAAGTTTCCAGGAGTTCTATGGAAAATCGATCTCATACAAGAATGCCTTACCCCTTTCAAGCATAGAGATCAAGGTGCAGTCCCCACTGTCTTCTTTACTGGGCTCATCGTCAATCTGGTGGCCTTTCCTACTTCATTATTTGTGAAAGTGAAATTCTGGGAGTAGAGTTGAGCCGGCCTGGGCTCCTCTTTCCGCGCGGCCTGTGCTCACTGGGCCGGGTCTGGGCCGAAGCAGCACCTGCGCCTCCCCTGAGCCCGGAGCCGCAGGTGATGGACACTCATCTGTGCCTCCCCCGAGCCCGGAGCCGCAGGTGGTGGACACCGTGAGCGTTTGTCCACTCTCTGTGGCTGGGCGACCACACGGCCCCGGGACGGCTGTGGGGGCGTCGGGGTGGGGGACCGGGTGAGCTGGGCCGAGGCCTGATGACCGTTTGTCTCCCCGCAGAGGATTTCGTGTTCCAGTTTAAGGGCTTGTGCTACTTCACCAACGGGACGGAGCAGGTGAGGAGTGTGACAAGATACGTGTATAACCGGGAGGAGTACGTGCGCTTCGACAGCGACGTGGACGAGTACAGGGCGGTGACGCCGCTGGGGCGGCCGGACGCAGAGTACTACAACAGCCAGAAGGACATCCTGGAGCAGACGAGGGCGGAGATAGAGACGGTGTGCAAACACAACTACCAGAACGAGATCCTCACGACCTTGCAGCGCCGAGGTGAGCGCCCCCTCCCGGCTTGGTCCGAGGTGAGCGCGCCCCCTCCCGGCTCGGAGCCGTGCGGAGCCGCTGTCCCGGAGCGCAGGCGCGGGGTGGGACCGGCCAGGTCCGGGAATCGTGGGGCCAACCCAGCAGTGGGGGCGCCCCAGGACCGAGCTCCTTCCTGGAGACAGCGGAGGCACAGGAGGGGGTACAGGAGGGGGTACAGGGGACAGGAGCGGGACATCACATCTGCCTTTACGTGCTGGCCTGCCCTTCTCCAGCCTGCCTGGTGTCCTCTGTGTCCTCGGTCTTCGCTCCTTGTCCACTTCAGATCGTCCATTCCTGCTTTGTGCCTTCTGGACGCTTTACTGCGTCCTTCCTTCCCTTTGTCTAAACAGGTTCCCCTGCCTGACGTGCCCTCCCGACCCCTCCTGTCCCCACTACTGTGAACCATCTCAGAGAGGCTCCTCTTAGGAGCTTGTGCCCCAGAAGCTTAACAGGCTCAGCTTGGTGGAGTTAGGACGGTGTCAATAACAACCTATTAGCTTGCACAGTAATTTGCACTATGTTGTTGTTATGTGCCTTCGACTAGTCTGCGACTCATAGCGACTCTATATATACAACAGCCCTAAACTCTGCTCTATCCTGTGTCAATCTCACCGTCTCCGACACACCTACGCCCATTACCCCAGTCACTGAATTAATTAATCTCATCGAGGGTCTTCCTCTCCTGCGCTTTCCCTCCAACCTCCCCAGCATGACGTCCCTCTCCAAGGACTGGTCCCTCCTTGCAACATGTCCAAAGTATGTCAGATGAAGCTTCAGATTCTTTGCCTTCACAGAGCACCCCGGCTTCACCCTCTCTAGGACAAACCTGTTCTTTTTCCTAGCAGTTCATGATGTATTCAATACTCTTCTCCAGCATGACAGTTCAAAGGCATCAATTCTCCTATTCATCCCCAGTCATTGTCCAGCTCTCTGATGCATAGCAAGTGATTGCAAAGACCATGGCATGTATCGGGGACACCTTAGTTTCCAGACTGACATCACTGTACTTCAGTACTTTAGAGAGGTTTCTAACCGCAGACTTTCCCATTGCAATACGTCTTTTAATTTCCTGGCTGCTGGTGCCAAGAGTGTTGACTGTGGAGCCAAGCAAACCAGAACTGTGAACAATCTCAATCTCTTCACCACCCAATATGATGCTGCCAATTGGCCCAGTGGTGAGAATCTTTGTTTTCTTGATATTGAGCCTCAAACCATACTGAAGACTGTAGTCTTCAGTCATAACATAGAATATTTAAATTATTATTTTTCTTGATTCTGTTTTCTCTAATCCAGGATCTCTTTGTGGCAAGGGATGACTTTTTCCTTGTAGACTTAATACCTGACACTTTGTCTGGCATGTAATATGAACAAGAAATGTTTGTTAAGTTAATGAACAAATGCACTCAGGTACCCTATAACGTAATCCAAAAGAAAAAGAACCATGGATAAAGACTTAGACACTGACTTCATTAAAATGACTCTTTTACTTAATGCTTTAATATTAAAATATGAACTGATTTGGATCTAGGTAATATAGAATTTGTGAAGGCATATTCTAAAAAAAAAAAAAAAAGATTCTGTGGAAAGCTTTTGCTGAAAAGAAAAAGAAAATTTGAAAGCCACAAGGCAGATTTTAAACTTCTTTGAAAGTCTTCCAAAACCAGCATAATGGAAAGAGCAAGAGCTTTGAAATAAGTAAAAAAAAAAGCCTTTAAATTACTTAATAAAAATTGTTATGGGTTTCTTGTGGCTTAGCTCAGCCTCCCTCTCATCATTGGCATCCTCAAAAGGGTATACAGTTTGAAAGAAAATCATATTCATTCAGCAAACACTTGTTTCTCGATAGTTGCTTTAGTGAATATCATCCATGTTATGAATTTAGAGTTAGAGATTAGCAGTCCTGTTTCATTGAAGATAATATTGTATATAAACATTGTAAGTAATTAATCTCAGTTACTATACAAAGCCATTTGACTGTGTGGATCATGACAAGAATGGGAATTCTAGAACAATTAATTATGCTCATATGAAACCATATATATAGACCAAGAGGCTATAGTCCAAACAGAGCAAGGGAACAATGTATGATTTAAAATCAGGAAAAGTGTATGCCAGGGTTGTATCGTTTCTGCATACCTTTTCAATCTGTATGTGGAGTAAATCATTCAAGAAACCAAACTCTGTGAAGAAGAAGGTGGTCCAGAATGTGCTACATAGATGACACTATCTTGCTTGCCAAAAGTGAGGGCTTGAAATGCTTCAGCAGAACAAAGACAGCCTTCAATATGGTTTTCTTCTCAATATCAAGAAAACAAAAATCCTCACTACTGGATCGATCAGTAAACAACATCAATGTAGAAGGAGAAAAGATTGAATTGAAATGTCATCTTGGATCTACAATCAACACCTTCAGTACCAGATGCCAGGAGATCAGGAGACATAATACATTGGGAATGTCTACAGTTAGGAGTCTCTCCAAAGTAATGAGGAGCAGTGATGTTAATTTGAAGACTAAGGTGTTCCTGCTTCAGACCAGGATCTTTTCTAACACTTGCTATGGATCTAAGAGCTGGACAATGCATAAGGATGACAGAACAACAAAAGATACCTTGGAGCTGTGGTGTTGGAGGAGAATACCAAACATCCCATGAACTGCGAAAGAATAAACAGCTATGTCTTAGAAAAAGCCAGAGTGCTCCTTGGAGGTCAAGATGGCGAAGCTTCTTCTCTACTTTGGGTATGTTCCTAAGAGAGGCTATTCCCTGGAAATGGACATCACTCTTGAAAAGGTGGAGGATCAGTGAAAGAGAGGAAGGTCTTCAATGAGGGAGATTGACTCAGTGGTTGCAGTAACGAGTTCAATTATGTCAGAGATGATGAGGATGACACATGATAGGACAGGGTTCAAAACTGTTGTTCAGGAGCTCTGGTGGCCTAGTGACAAGAAGCTGCACTGCAATCCCAGAGATATGTGGTTCAAATCCACCAGGTGCTCTGCTGAAGAAGGAGGGGCAATCTCCTCCTGTAACAGATCTGATTTGTTGGTACACACACACACACACACACACTTAAATTTAAAAAAAACCACAACAAAACAAACAAAAAAACCCCACACAACTGTTGTTCATAGAGTTGCTATCAGTCAACTTGATAGCACCTAACCAACACAACATTCACCAAGTTCTGAAACCTCTGATCTTAGTTTCCTAGAGCTGTTGCAATACAAATACCACAAATATGTGGCTTTAAAGCCAGTTATAATAGATGAAAATCCAAATCAGTGTCCCACAATGTTTTGATTCAGTCTGTAAGCCACTCTCCTGTTTCTGGTACCTCTTGTGGTTCCTGGTGTCCCTTTACTTTGATATCTGCCTGTGTTCCTCTGCATGTGTGTCTCTGTGTCTATTCCACCATTTTTATAGCAATTATAGAAACTGTTTTTATAACAGTTTTTAAAGTAAGTTTATATAAGAGTTTTGTTTTTTAAAAAGAATTGTTTAAATAACAGTTTAGGGAGCTCTGAGGATTAATGGGACGTCCTCACATGCATTTACAGCCTCTGAAAACTCACTGGAGAGTCTACTATGAGTTGGTTCTTGATGATACATAACAACAACAAGTTTTATATGATCTCAGCTGACTGATTCCAGTATGGAATCCTTTACTTAAGGCCAAGTGATTTAATTACTTGCAGCAAATCCATGCAGTTTCCAGTGGCACAAATGGTTAAAGAGCTTGGCTGCTGACAGATCAGAAATTTGGGTGCACCCAGAGGTGTGGTGGAAGAAAGACAGGGTGATCTATTTTGCCTATCATTCTTCTTTGGAGCATCTGGTGGGTTCAAACATCAGATAGGTACTGCCCTTGGGTTAACAGCACAACTACCTGTGCACTGTGACACCAGAGCTCCCACTCTGAAACCTCGGAGGGATTTTTCATTATGGTGAGACCCCATGTGGCCTTACATCTCACTTACTATGTCTTTTTGTGTCTTTCATTTCCCTTAGTGGAGCCTATGGTGACTGTGTACCTGGCAAAGACAGAGGCCTTGAACCACCACAACCTGCTCATCTGCTTGGTGACAGATTTCTATCCAAGTCAGATCAAAGTCCAGTGGTTCCGGAATGACCAGGAGGAGTCAGCTGGTGTTGTGTCCACTCCTATTATTAGGAATGGAGATTGGACTTACCAGATCCATGTGATGCTGGAAATTACTCCTCAGCGTGGAGATGTCTACACCTGCCAAGTGGAGCACATCAGCCTCCAGAGCCCCATCACAGTGGAGTGGCGTAAGGGGCAGTCTGTTTCCTTTCTCTCCTGATCTCACAGCACAGAGGGTAGATCTCCCTCTGGCTGACCTCATCTTGTCACTGAACACCTCATTCTTTAGCCCTTAGGGCATGACTGAATGGAGAATCACAGGAGTCTAAAATGCCTTGTGTCCCATGACAAGGACGTCAGAAGAAACCTAATTTCACTGGCCTTTTAGTTCAAACTATTAAGAATAGTGACTGAGATATTATAGTTCAAGGATACAAATGGTTGTGTCCCTTTGGAACACGGGTTCACTTCCCTCTCATTCACCTGGTCTTTGTGCCAAGAATCTATCGGTCAGTCCTTACTTTACTTGGTAGGCTCAAAATTGGTCAAAATATAGGTAGGAGAACGAGATTCCCTGGTATCCCTTACTCTTCTTGTCCCCTAGACTGGACTTCAGAGTGTGGGAGCAAAGACTGACACCCAGATTTCTGCTTCCCAGGGGTACAGCCTGAATCTGCCCAGAGCAAGATGCTGAGTGGTATTGGGGGCTTCATGCTGGGACTGATCTTCCTTGGCCTGGGCTTCATCATCCATCGTAGGAGTCAGAAAGGTAAGGAACTCAGGTGGGAAATGGAGGTGATGAGCTTGCCTGTAGCCAGGGAGATTTGTGCTTTAGCTAGAGCTTTCCCTTCTGACCTTAAAGGAAGGAAGGAAGGAAGTTAGTGAAGGTATAACGGGTGGGGGTGGGGGGTTATCAGTATCTATTTTGCTACTTGAAATATCTGTTCAACAAGAGTGAATAGTGGAGTTTACTTGAGGATTTTCTTATATTTCATTTCTATCACTGGCTTCATTCTGAAAGTTTCCTCCATTAAAAGAATCAGAGCTTTAGCTTTAATTTGGCCACCAGCCTGCTCTGGTGGCCTAGTGAGAAGAAGCTGGACTGCAATCCCAAAGGCACATTGTTTGAATCCACCAGCTGCTCTACAGGGCAATCTCCTCTCTTGAGATTGACGACCTCTGAAAACCTGCAGGAGATGAGCTATGCATTTGTTCCAGCTTGAGGGCACACAACAACACATCTGTTCTTTTCATTCCTTTTGGGAGCTTTATCTTAGGACAGTTAGAGTCTTGTACTCAGAAGTGGACAGAGTGTAACTAACTCACAGAGTATAACTAACTCTCTAGTTCAGTTGCATAGCTCATATCCTTTGGTGTGAATGAAAGGGTCAGTGTTTGTGTAATGAAACATTTCTCTGTATAAATTCCTTTTGTAGGACCTGCTGGGCCTCCATCAACAGGTAATATTTCTTCTCTGATCTGATGAGGGACAGGGAAATAGGTATCAGGGGAAAGAGGAAGATTGAGTATGCCTGAGTCCAGTGCTCTAGGTTCAAGGCACATTTCCTGTTATACAGATCATGAGTTAGAGGTGAAGTTTACTTAGTTTTTATAGGAACCTATAAAAGTTGTTTCCCCAAACTGACCAACTTTAACGGAACCTTCCTGTGAACCTTGAAACTGGAGCTACATTTGTGTGTTACATGGTAGATTAATGACTACTTTGTAACACATCTTGGTTAACTACTACTTTTTAGGCATTTAACAGTGACTAAATAAAGCTACTGTGGCAAAAACACAAACAAAAACCAACAACAAAAAACAAACCCCAAACAGCGAACTATTACCCAGTTTAAAAAAAATGAGGAAAAAAAAAATCCTTAACCCTTCTATTCCCTGGAAGCATAACAGCAACTCTCTTGCCTCCTAAGTCTCTTAGTCATGCTGAAATTCCTGTCCACTTTAGCTGATTGGACCTTTTCACTGATAAGCGAGAGAAGTAAAGGCAGTATGCCTTATACCTGACGTTTTTGAGGGGAATGGAGATGGTGTATGTTTCAGAATGTTTTCTAACCACACTTTCTCTCATCTGTAGGGCTCCTGCACTGAATGCCTGAAGACTTTTTAAATTTTTTGATTGGGATTGACAATTGGTTGACTGCTTCATCCTTGTCTAGGATTCCCAACGACCTTAGTAGACTTGTCTTCCTTGGAGATCAGTAACATCTACTACCTTCGCCTTGAGGGTCAGGTTGTGCCTCTTCTTTCTGCACTGACACTGGAGCCTCTTTTTTTTTTTTTGTGCTGACAGCTATATTCTCAGAACCCTAGGGATTTTCACTTCTTTATTTCCCCCTACCCTTATAGACTATTCAAGAGATTTTCATGGAACCAAATTAATTGAGTATAAACTATTATTATAACTAAGCATGAGAGTGAGTTATCTATTGGTGTGCTGGTTAAACACGGGGCTGTTAACTGACATGTTGTGAACCTGCTACCTGCTCTACAGAAGAAAACATGACAGCTTACTATTGTAAATATTCACTGGAAATCCATGTGGGCAGTTCTGCTCCATCCTACAAGGCTCTGAGTGAGAATTGACTCCACAGTATCAGTGGGGTTTGGTTTTGTTTATGAGTTATCTATACCCAGAACCTCCTCAACTGAGTGAGGACAGAAAACTTCTGCAGAATAAAAGAAGCAGATGTTTTGAGTGATCTGATCAATTGTAAAACCTGTGTGTAGATGGAAGATGAGGGTGACACATAAGGGTAGGCAGAAGAGATAGACTATTAGACTTGTTCACTTGTTACAATCTTCATGGTTCTAATGAATGGAAATTTTAAAAAATCCCCAAAGTGGACTCAAAGTATGTGTGTGTGAACCCCCAACCTTCATGCTTCTGCAATGTTGATGTTTAGGTCAATTGCCTTAAGATATCTTAGTCTCTTTTCTGGCTTGTGAATATTGCATACTTAAGCGTAATGGAATTATTTGTTAGTAAATGACATACGATTGGGCAGCATTTTGTTGTGTTGTGTGTAGGTCACTGTAAGCCTCACCTGACTCTACATCACTTAGCAACAATATTATAGAGAACCAAACTGATGTTTCAGATCTATCCTGATAAGTCACTTTGATGGGGACCTAGCTTTATTTTTGAGGAAACATAACCAGCAATAAAGTACCTTTTTCACCTTCTAGAGTTTAGAAACCATACTAAAATATATTTTGTTAATTTTGCCAAGAAGTCTGGGATCAAGGTGATTTTAGGAATGACTTGATCAAAGTCAATCAAAGATTTATTTTCTCTTTCTATCATATAACTTATCATTTATACCTTTCCATTTTTCATACCTCTTTTCCCCTCTGGATCATTTTATGCCATCTCCACCTATATTTCTGCCTCTTAGTGTTTGTTTCTCACTCTATGCACATTACCATTGTCTATCTAAATCTTTTTTCTATCTTTTTGTACTTCTTTCTGAGGAGCTTCATTGATGCTGTGAGTAAGGAGGTAATTGATTTGCTATTAACCTGGGGGTTGGTGATTTGAACTCACCATTTATGTCAGGGGAGATTGATGTAGCAGTCTGACTCTCAGAAGACTGAAGTCTTAGAAACACTCTGGGTTAATTCTTATGTATGTATAAGGCCATTATGATTTGGAGTAGAATATATGGCAATACAGCAAGAAGAATGAAAATCCTAAACAATTGTGCTGATGCAAAACCGTAGGCCAAGAAACAACAACTGTCTGAACAGAACAAGGGAACATTGCATGGTTTAAAATCAAGAATGGTGCATTTCATAATTGTATCCTCTTCTTCATATCTATTTAATCTCTATAATGAGCAAATCATTCCAGAAACTGGGCTATATGAAGAAGATGTGGCATCAGGACTGGAGGGGAACTAATTAACAACCTGTGTTATAAAGGTTGCTTGCAGAAAGTAAAGGAGATGTGAAGTGCTCACTGAAGAAGATCAAAGAATATAATTTTCAATATAAATTACCTCTCATCATCAAGGAGAAAAAAAAATCCTCACCACTAGTCCAATAGGCAGCATCATGATAGATGGGAAAGATTGAAGTTGTCAATTTAATTCAACTTGGATCCACACTCAACACCCATGGTAACAGTGGTCAAGAAATCAGAATATATGGGGCCTTGGGAAAATCTGCTGTCAAGGACCTCTTTAAGGTGCTAAAGAGCAAAGAAACAGTTTAAAGATTAATATGTGCTTGATTCAAGCCATGATATTTTCAATATTGCTTCCTATGTATCTGAAATTTGGACAATGATTAAGGAAGAGCAAAGAATTGATGTCTTTGAATTGTGCCATTAATTAAGAATATGAACATCCCATGGATTGTTGGAAAAAACAAACAAATCTGTCTTGGAGGAAGTGCAACCAGGGTGTTTATTAGAGGCAAAGGTGGTGTACTTTTGTCTCACACACTTTGGCCATTCTTCCAGGAAGGACCAGTTCTTGCAAAAAGAGAATGTATTGGGAAAGGTAGCAGGTAAGATAAAGAGAAGACCCTCAGCAAAATTGCATGATACTGTTACTATAAGAATGAGCTTGAACATGGCAGTGATTGTGAGGATGACAGAGAATAGGACAAGTTTCTAATCTGTTGTCAGAGAGTCACTATGAATTGTGATGAACTAGATGACACTGAACAGCAATGACATATGGCAATGAGTTTTTAATGGGTGTATCTTTTTGTATCTTATTTTCTGTACTTCTGTCATTTTCTAATAACTCATCTCTGTTTCTCTGTGTGTATGTATTTCTGTTGTGTCTCCAGCATGTCTACTAGAGTTTGAACAATTTTAGATTATTATTTGATAGGCTAAGCCCAGATAACATACAGTCCTTTCAAAGAAATCACCCTATACATATATGCAGATGGTTAGTGTTGTGTCTACTCCCTGATTAGATTAGAAATAAGAGGTGGTCTTTCCCGAACCTAATGATGCTGGGAATGATTCCCTAATGTGGAGTTGTTTACAGCAGCACTCTGCTCTTTAATGGCCTACCACAGTAGAATGCATAAAAGAAGTTTGTTTCTTTGCACCATAGATCAGATAAGACACATGAAAAGCTCCTGTTCATAGTAGAGTTCTACATTGGGTAGGCCACTCATATTCATCACGTTGTTTGTCTCTCTCTGGATCTATTCTCTGATCACGTAGAATTTTCAGGGTTTAGAACTTTCCTTGCCTATGAACATGATAATTGATAATTATTCATTATCTTTTTTCTTAGTTATTTATGTAGTCACAATAAACACTCATGACTCCAGCGACATGGTCTCCTCTCTCTTGTCTTTGTCATTAAGATAGGTGATTGAGTGCTTATTTATGAGGTTAAGGAAGAACATGTCTCCAGAGCGAGTGTTTCTTCTTCCTTTCCCACTGACTGGATCATTGATGCTACTGACAGGTCCTTCCACTGCTGGATATTATCAGAATAGAGAACTAGGCTTTGTTGGGCTAAACTGCAGATAACCATAAAGGAACAGATGAGAATGAATACTATAACTATTGTGATTAAATTCCCTAGAGCAAGAGGCTGAGTGAAACCAGACAGAGGTTTTAGCTGGGACTTGTTTTCCTCATGTGAAAATTCAACCATAGGAATTAAGAAAATTGGAGAATAATAAAGACTTGTACTGTATTGTACAGGGAGATCTCTGTGTATGTATTGCTTTAGGGGACAGGCTAGAGCTAAACTGAACTGAAGCTTAGGAAAAAACCCTGAGATTTTTGGGTTTTGGTAGGTTTTTGTTTTTGGGGTTTTTTTTTTTTCCAGTTGAAAAGTTGAAAGCCTTATCATGGAGTATTTCTATGGTATTCTTTTTGAAATACTTATTTATGATGACAATATGTTGTTCTTCTTGTTAAGTGCTATCAAGTTGCGGGTGACTCATAGCGACCATATGAATGAAAGTCCTGGCAATCCTGCTTCCAAGCTTATTTTAATCAGGGAGCTCCACCAAACACTGTCCACCATGAGTAACCATTACCACATTTGACACATCAGTGTCACAGTGTTTGGCTTCATAGCAACCATGAGTTACCTCTGTACAGCAAGTGGACATACCAGGGTTACATGACCTAGATGAATGGTTCACCAAAAATAATTAAAGGCTGCGGCCCTTGAGCACAATAGGATTTTAAGCTAGGGACTGGGACAGGCTCCACAGGCTTGACCCTACCCTTACTTACCCTTACTTTAGGGGTCAGGGCCCCCTATCCACCTTTGAAGGCCAAAAAGGAGAGTAACACAAAATGAAAAAGACCCCAGAAACTTCCCTTGCCTGACTGCCACAAAAAGGAGCCGCCATGGAGACGCCAGCCATCCCACCCAATTAACCAGCTGACTTCCAGAGTGGAGAGAGACTCCAGTCCCCTAGCCTCATGAAGAATTTTAAGCTAGATGATGACAATATACACAATCAAATTTACAC